ACATTGGTGAGTAAATGAATTTTATTTTACATTTCTTCTTGTCATTTTATTTCTTATATTTTATTAAATTCATGGTAATGAAATAAAATGACAATCATACAAAAATGTATCAAATAAATCTGCTCACCTGCAATTTATAATGGCGCATTGTAGTCACCTTCGTGCACTAAAGTTCATTAAATCTCTGCTGCTCAACATTTTCAGTTATTTGCTGTTGTATAGCCTCTTCTCAAAATGCAAATGATCTGTTAACTTTATTTTCAAAGAATAGTTTGTTTTGTTATTGTGTGGTTGGTGTCTTATATGAAACTGCGACATTGCGTAATTTATTGGACAGACTTGTTTAAGATCACACAACGTAATTTGGGTGGCATTTTATTTCATATTTTTAAATCATCTTTTTATTTTTGACAATATCTGTAAATTTAGTTTCCTGCTCTTAATTGTGAATGCATACTTGATGGTTTTAAATGCTCCTGAAATTAAGTGCTGCTTGACGAGCCTATACAGTATTGTGCTCATGTATGTGACGTCACTCAAGGCATAAGGTTGAAATGCACAGCCCGCCACTGATTGTAATTGATATTTGTTCAATATTTTTGTGACTCGTATTTCTCCCTAGTGATAGATATCAGCACAGTGTCAGCTGTATAAAGTAGTGGTCTACCATTTCCAGCTACTACTAAATTTAGAATGGAAATAATCTTAGTTGATTTATGGTCATTTGTTCCACATGTCAGCCAAGAACATATAATTTGTAGACCGTCCCAAAAACAGACTGGGAGCGAAGATCAAACTGAAACATTCAGAGATATTTAACTCGCTCGGATTGAACGTTTTCACAATGTCTGTTTTGGTCGTTTTACGTCTACTCAGTCACTGCGACAAAAATACAATAATAAAATAAAATGGATCAGAGTCCTCCAAAATGACAGATATGACGACAATTTGAGCTGTACTAATTAGTGGGCTACCTTTGCCATCAACTACAACAATCAAGTCAAGTACAACTTTATTGTCAAATCAGAATGAGAAAACGTGTCAATGATTTTTGGAAAATATTTGTCAATTTATGACAACTTTGGTGACATAAATGGCTCTGAGTTCTCCAAAGTGACACATATGAAGTTATTCTAATTTGTATTCATTAGTGGGCTACCACTGTTATCAATTACAGCAACTAGAATGAGTAATTGTGTTTTTATTGAGTTTGGTGTATATTTTTGTTAATTTGTAACTACGTTTGTCCGTGAAATGCCTCCTACCAAAATGACAGACATGATGACAGATTGACACTTTGAACTGTAGTAATTTGTGTGCTACAGTTGCCATGTACTACAACAATCAGAATGCGGAAAATATATTGTAATCAGTGGCGAACCCTCAAGGCCAGCAAGGCCTTCTCTGCTGGCCTAAACATTTACTTTTCTGAGAATAACATTAATTTATGTTATTTTATTTTCATAAATATGTAAACAAAATTATTCTCTGTATTCTTTACGTCATATTATTTCCACTTAGTCGAGTGGCTTTCAATGTTATTTTAAATAACATTGCTCGGGGCCTTCAGATTAAACAGAGCAGGCCCCTGTGCGCTGTAAGTGAACGGGCACAGTCAGGTTGCAATAGCAGACTCGTCTGCGTACTAGGGCCAGCTAGAAGGCCTTACGTCGAGACTGGCCATGCGCGTTCGGTGAGTGGATTAGCGCCTTTTCTGTTTACTGAGAATTGTATCCTGACTTGTTCAATAAAGATTCTTAAAAATAAAAATAAAAAAGATTGGATTAGCGCCTGCTAGAGCTATCACTGCATTTTAAGCCAAAATGGCCGAAGGAGAAGACGTTGATCTGGTTGCAGAACTACTTTCCACACAATTTTCAAGACGGGCCTTCCATGAAAAGCTGGATATTGTGCAAAGAGGTCGCCCAACTCTTGCACTAGCTAGGAAAAGGGTTTGTCCGTCATTTTCAGACGAGCAATTATGAACGGTACCCGTGGCTCACAGCCTCTGAGAAACGCTGCAAATTGTACTGCTGGGAATGCCTATTGCTTGCAACTGACCGGTGCGTTTAAAAACGTTTGGGGACACTCGCGTAGATCTGCA